TGATTGGCAGCAGCGCTAAAGTGAAAAAAAATTAATAAAGATTGTGCGTTAGTTGCTCACAAAACCCTCAAGGAGAAATTGAGTACCTGGGCGCGAAGCTGATGCTCGTGCCCGACGTCTTGTCGTCCGGTGGAGTGGGGCTGGTGTTTTGAAAAATAAAAGTGAGCACGTATGCGTTATCTCATCTTTTGTCCTTTGTGGACAAACAACATGCGTAATGTAGTATAATTTTATATTCACTGTGATGGTGTTAAAGATGAGAGACATATTGGTTTTATTACTATCTGCTGCATTGTGCGATTTGAGGCAGTGTTTTTTATAGCGACGGCCGTTATGACACAACGAAAAATGTCACGAGCGAGTATCTTAGATATATGTTCATAACTGAAACTTGTTTAGCGCCACATGTTATTATTATTATTATTATTATTATTATTATTATTATTATTATTATTATTATTATTATTATTATTATTATTATTATTATTATTATTATTATTATTATTATTATTATTATTATTATTATTATTCGCGTACATGTCTTGTATGCTGCCTGGCTTGAAGACGAAGAGAATTACCCCAAAATTACTCAGTATGGACATGCAGCTGGAACGAGTAACCACAAGCAATGTCCGCATCAATCGAACACACTTTAAAGACACTTCAGGCGCTACGGTAGGCTAGACTGAACGAGAATAGAAACACTTACATAGATTCTTCGACCGACACCCCCTCGTACATGTAGTCGTCCATTCGCATCAGATACTTGGAAAGCTTCAGAATGACCACTATTGTCATCGAAAATAATAAGCAGACAAGCCACAGGGCAAACCACACACCATTCTGAAAAAAAAAATGTTTAGAGCTCGAAATAAATATTGAGGGAGTGAACCAGTGTGTAAAAAAGCTACGAGGTTGACAAGAGGTAGTTTGGGATACGCTTTAAGGAGGATATTGAAGATAAAATTGGGGTAATTTTCTCAAGTACATCACAGTTATAGCGCTAAACAATAAAGATGTGTGAGGAAACATACGAGCATGGCGCACGCTGGTGTACCCTCGTTTTGTTAACCGATTTCCGTCGCGTACAGCCATTTTCTGGCTATCTCATACATTAACGAGCCTATTTATTTATTTATTTATTTCAAATACCCTCAGGGTACAAACGTACATTGAAGAGGGGAGGGGCAAAGAAGAAAGTTAACACGTAATAATAACTTAAATAAAAACTTGGTTATAGTTTTAAAAATACAGAAATGAATTATCACGATGACGCTTTAAACAAATATCAGTTACAAGAACAAAGGCCAATGAACCAAAATGAATAACACAGCAATCAAAACACTGGACTGTCCTGGAAGAATTACAAGATTTTATCATTGGATGCACTGCCAAAAGAGATATAATGAAAAAAAAAAAAAAAAATAATGTACAAAAAGTAGCCACTCGCAAAACTAGAATACGAGAAGCATAAAAAAAAAAAAAAAAAATTAAAGGTATGAAAACAAACACTGAACGATGTTAACTCGAAATGAAACTTCGAAGTGCGATTTTGAAATTATTGGTGTTAGTTATGCTTGTGAGTGATGCAGGCAGATTGTTCCAGTCTCTGGTCGTTGTGGGGAGAAATGAGTGTGAAAAGCCGACGGTGTTGCTGTGTGGAATGTTTACCTTTTGGCGATGGTCGATGCGGGATGAAATGTACGGCGGTGGCTGAAGAAGCATAGAATGTAAATATGAATTGTGGTAGTAGATTTTATGGAAAAGATAGAGTCGAGATAGTTTTCGGCGATGTGATAGCAATGGAAGGTGTAGAATGTCTTTCATGTTAGTAACACTCGCAGTTCTTTGGTAATTGTTTAAAATGAAGCGGACTGAGCGATTTTGTATTTTTTCTAGTAATTTTATGTGGTTCTGATATCCGGTGTCCCATACTGACGATGCATACTCAAGCTTCGGACGAATGAAAGTTGTGTACAGTAGTAGTTTTAATGAAGATGGCGCTTGAGGAAACTTCCGGCGAAAATATCCTAATGTGCTAGTGGCCTTGGTGGCTATGTAATCAATATGAGTTTTCCATGAAAGGTTATTGGTAATATGGACACCCAAGTATTTGTACGATGTTACGCATTCTAGTGGGATGTTATTAAGTGTGTAAGTAGGGGAAGTCACTTCAGCACTGGAAATCCTCATACTTTTGCATTTTCTAACGTTTAATTCCATACGCCATAATTGACACCATTTAGTTATGTTATTAAGATCTTCCTGAATTAGTGAAATGTCTGCGGCATCCGTCACCTTTCTATACAAGACGCAGTCATCTGCAAACAGGCATATTTTCGAAGAGACATTAGTAGGCAAATCATTAATATAGATTAGGAATAGTAAGGGACCAAGCACAGACCCTTGCGGGACACCAGAATCAACAGGAATCAATGAGGAGTTAACGTCGTTAGCGGCTACAAACTGAACACGTGATGTTAGAAAGGCGCGAATCCAATTAATTACAGCTGTGTCGATGTTTAGAACGCTTAGTTTATGAAGTAGCAGTGCATGGTTCACTTTGTCGAATGCTTTAGAGAAGTCGAGAAATATACAATCTGTTAAAAAACCGCCATCTAGATTAGAGTGGAGAAAATGAGTGAAGGCTATGAGCTGAGTGTCACAGGAAAAGTTTTTGCGAAATCCATGCTGCGAAGCTGTGAAGAAGTTGTTATGTTCGAGAAAATTAACCAGATGTGTGTAAATTATATGCTCCATAATTTTGCAAGGCACTGATGTAAGAGAAATCGGTCTATAATTTTGTGGGTCATGGGATGGTCCTGATTTGTAAATAGGGATGACTCTGCCAGTTTTCCAGTCAAACGGTAAGGTACCCGAGTTGTAAGATTGCGAGTAAATATGTTCTAGTATGATTGAGCAATATTCAGCAGTGTTTTTTAAAAAGATTGCATTGATTTCGTCTACCCCGCATGATGCTTTAGATTTTAGTTTCTGAATGATGCTTTTGATACCAGTGGAGTTGAAGATTATGGGATGCATTGAGTGGTATTGAGTAGGATGGATCTCAGGCATCGGACCGGGAAGGTTAGGTGATGAGAATGACGAAGCGAAAGTTTCATTGAGCAGAGTAGAACACATATGCTCCGGTACAGGGCCCCCAGAACTTGTCAGCAGTGATATACCATTTTTATGAGCATTTCCCCGGATAATCTCCCAAAAGCGTTTTGGGTTAGCCTGTATTAAGTTTGGAAGCGTGGATTTAAGGAAGGAGACTTTGGCTGATTTTAGTGCTATGAGATATGAGCTTGCAGCGTTTTTGTATGTTAGCCAATGAGACGGTGTTGAGTGAAGTTTAGCTGTGCGGAATAAACGTTTTTTCTTATTGGATAATCGATTCAAATATGTACTATACCATGGTGATTTATTGTTAGCGTAAACAGTCCGAAGGGGGACATGTTTGGTTATTAGCTCACCGATTTTATTTTTTAAAATGAACCAGTTAGTTTCGACGGAGCGTTCTAGATAACTAGGTAAAAAAGTGGCCAGAAACAGGCACAGTTCATTGTTGATGGCCTCATAATTAGCTTTTTTATAATTTCGAATCTTTTTCCGCTGTCGCTTTATCTTTTGATGAGGTGTTGTAATCGTGAAGAGCAGGATGTCGTGATCGCTCAGCCCTGGCATGTGTGTTACTGTAGAAACTTTATCAGTTGATGTCGTTAGAATCAGATCAAGGAGTGATGATTTGTTTTTTGTTACACGTGTTGGAAGTTTGACTATCTGGGATAAGCCGAAGTCAGAGCAAACTGAAACGAACCGATTGGCTTCAGCCGTTGAGGGGTTAGAAAAAGGGATCGAATGAGACCAGATGATGTCAGGAAAATTAAAATCACCCAAGAGTATAATTTGAACTCCCGGGAAACGCATGGTAACCGCATTTAAACTGTCGTGAATGTCATCACAAAAGGATGAGTCACTTGATGGGGATCTGTAGCAGACACCTAATAATATTTTCTTAAAACTAATTGTTAGGCAACACCAAATAAGCTCTAAATTCGAGTTGATTGGCACAAGAGAACAATTTATGGATTCTTTAACAGCGAGCAAGACGCCACCACCAATCCTACCAGTTCTGTCACTTCGGTAAACAGTATAACGGTTTGCACACTCAAAGAGTTCGGGGTTTGTTATTTTGCTACTTAGCCAGGTTTCTGTCAGTGCAATAATGTCGGCGTTACAGTCATCAATAATACCACAGAATTCATCTTTCTTGGGAAAATAACTACGAATGTTGGTAAAAAGGACTGAACACTTGCACTCGTTTATGGTTCCTCCCCTCAGATGTCCCTAACTCGGCGGTAACCTACGACCTGAGCGAAGAGTTCTGCTACGTTCATGCTCGTGTGTGGGTTTTTTTCTGTGTATTTCGAAAATACAGTTCTTCGCTTCGTCGTATCCGTAAGATTTGCCATCGAATGTCAGCGTTTTATACCGAAGTTTGAAGGACGTGGTCTTTGATTTACCGTATTCTATTAGTTTTTTTCTTATGTTGCGCGTTGTTTGACAAAAATCTTCGCTCATTGCTATGTCAGTGCTCTTTAGCAAACCTCGTTTTGAAAAAACCAGCTCTCTCTTTTTAAATGTTTCAAATTTCGTTATAAGTGGTCGAGCTTTCGCTGAATCATAGCGTCCTATTCTGTGAGCGCGGCATATATCAGAACTTGTGACATCAATTTGGATAGTATTAGTCAGGAGGTTGATGATCTTTTTTTCCGATTCCGAAGAAGTTTCATCTGCGGCATCTGGAATTCCATAAAAGACAAGATTGTTTCTCCGCGATCGATCCTCTGCGTCATCAAGACGCGAATGCATATTACTAGTGTCTTTTTCAAGGCGCTCAACAGTGGTGCGTAGTTCTTTCATTTCATGCTGCCAGTGCTCGAAAACGGAGGTTTGGTTTTCAACTTTCGCCAGTCTGTCCTTTATTTCGTTTATTGATTCTGAAACTGACTGTTGTTGTTCTTTTAACACAGATACGGTGTCCAATATTGTTGTTTGCGCTGATTCCATTCTTTTTGTACGTTCGTTCAAATCCTTCATCGTTTTCACTAGTTCTGCTAAGTTGTCAGGACCTGGGTTGCTTTCTACATCCCCACAAAGAAGTAGTAGCAAAGAACAAAAAGGCAAGAGAACGGCTTGTGGGCACGGAAGCACAACAATAAAGGGTTCATCAGATCGGAAGCTACGACAAGGCAGTTTAGAAAGGTAACTAACCTGCAAGACGAAAAGACAGGTGCGTAAGCCTTTGGCTGTTCTTTCCATCGCGCTTCCGTGCCCACTGCAGTGATAGTGCTCGATGCTGGGTCTTATCCTATCCGGACGAGATGACGTTGATGTCGCAGCTGCGCACTGGTGGTGCTGCAGGTGGCGCTCGACGATGTTGGTCAGGTCCCAGCAAGCTGTTTCTGGCAGGTCTGGTGAAGGGGCAACAGCACAGATTCCGTCCGATAATGGAAGATCCGGGGAAGGGGCGGCTTCACGAATTCCGTCCGAGAGCGCGAAGCTTTCCCGTAGACCAGCCACTGGTACGCCGGCCGCGAAAACAGCGACGTACTGCAAGACGAAAAGACAGGTGCGTAAGCCTTTGGCTGTTCTTTCCATCGCGCTTCCGTGCCCACTGCAGTGATAGTGCTCGATGCTGGGTCTTATCCTATCCGGACGAGATGACGTTGATGTCGCAGCTGCGCACTGGTGGTGCTGCAGGTGGCGCTCGACGATGTTGGTCAGGTCCCAGCAAGCTGTTTCTGGCAGGTCTGGTGAAGGGGCAACAGCACAGATTCCGTCCGATAATGGAAGATCCGGGGAAGGGGCGGCTTCACGAATTCCGTCCGAGAGCGCGAAGCTTTCCCGTAGACCAGCCACTGGTACGCCGGCCGCGAAAACAGCGACGTACTGCAAGACGAAAAGACAGGTGCGTAAGCCTTTGGCTGTTCTTTCCATCGCGCTTCCGTGCCCACTGCAGTGATAGTGCTCGATGCTGGGTCTTATCCTATCCGGACGAGATGACGTTGATGTCGCAGCTGCGCACTGGTGGTGCTGCAGGTGGCGCTCGACGATGTTGGTCAGGTCCCAGCAAGCTGTTTCTGGCAGGTCTGGTGAAGGGGCAACAGCACAGATTCCGTCCGATAATGGAAGATCCGGGGAAGGGGCGGCTTCACGAATTCCGTCCGAGAGCGCGAAGCTTTCCCGTAGACCAGCCACTGGTACGCCGGCCGCGAAAACAGCGACGTACTGCAAGACGAAAAGACAGGTGCGTAAGCCTTTGGCTGTTCTTTCCATCGCGCTTCCGTGCCCACTCCTATTCGAGTGCACCTGAACCCGAATTCAGAAATCTGCCCGAGAGCGTGGGGAGAGTAATCAAAAAACGAAAGGTGGGAGTTGGCATTTCACTTGTTAGAGAAAACTACGCCATGAATGCAAGAAAAAAAATTGAAATGAAGTGGTTACGAGGTTCTGGTGAAGGCCTGCGATTGTTTCCCGGCTTTTTGCGGTGGAAAGAGGAGAAGTGAACCGTTATCTAAGTGCGACATCAGTAGTCTGTCAAATAGTATGTGTAGGCATAACCTTGCACACTTAAAAAGTGGAGTGATATGTCCGGCTGAGAGAGACTATGGGACATAATTGCTTCACCCCCCCCCACTGATATTATAAAGGGGGAGGCACCCCCTTCCCTTCATATCAGTGCGCAAGATTTTGCGCTGGCCTTTGGTCGAGTGGCTTCGCCATTCCGTGACGTCACGTGGCAGTGATGGTGAAGGCTCCATCAGTAATCGAAAATACAGAACACTGTACTTGGGCGAACTTGTGCCCGGAAAATGAAAGGTCAGGCACGTACAAGAAATTTAAACTGTACACTAATAGTGACGAGAACAGCGTCGGCCGTCGAGTTACCCGATTCTGTGGTAAAACCCGTCCACATTTATAAATGCGGCATCAAAGGTTCTAGCCTTATCGCTGGTGCTCGCGAAAGCCGTCAAATAAATTAGACTGTTCGCTTCTTCTCCGTAATCTTAACGGAACATTCTCAAATAGCCCAAACATTGCACCATGTTTGCAATTAAGTTTTTTTTTCGCGCACGACCTTAGGAATAAAGGAAAAAGGTGGACCGACTTCCTGTCTACCCTGCCCCCTTTTTTCCCATGTTCACGCGCTCAAAAAACTTCCGAATATGACTACGCATCAACTGTTCCAAGCTTCCACTCTTGGGAATTGCACCATGGTCTGTGCCGAGCACTGATAACAGTTTTCGTATGTGAAATCCGAATGCATCAAAATCACATAATAAACACGCGTGGTGATGTGTTCAGCTTGTATACTTGGCTGAAGTTTTCTTTTAGCCGAAAAATTGAACAAGGGACTCTCCTTTGACAACAAGTATACGTCCGACGCACGTGAACAAAAGTGTGTGTCTGGATAATCATTTTCATTTTTAATCTTACAAGGACAGTGACATTAGCCAATCGCCACCTGGGTTTACGCCGGTACATTGTGTTCAAATATTTGTGCAGAAACTGTTGCGCCACTGCCCATGAAGTACGGGGAAAGCCCACAGTTTAAGCGCTTACCAGGTTGGCAATTATTGCATAGCAGAAGATGTCGAAACTTCTCTTGTAGATTGTGCCAACTCGTAGGCAGCTGCCGACGAGAGCGTAGAACTGGACGCAGTGCATGAAAAAAAAAGTACGCGCTTTGTTAGAATAAGAGGTCGCTGAACTTGAACTTTTATTCAAGAAAGAAAAACAAAATTGACCTTACGCGATCAGTCAGGGACTGTATGTTGTTTAGATAAGTGCCCACTCTGGCCTTGATAAAGTTGTAGTGGTCCTGGGAGAGGTGATTGCGTACGTATATATGGCTATCCTTCTACATGATAGACCGCAAGTAATCTGTTTTTTTACCGAACTTTTCATTGATTCATTGATTGATTCATTCATTCTTTGATGCATTCATTCATTCATTCATCCATTCATTCATTCACTTATTCTCGAAGCTGAAGCCACTTTCCCAAAATACCTCTGGTGCTTTGGCACATTCTTTAGTCGGGGCTCCACAACATGTTCTGGCAGCATCTTGCTCGTTCAACGTGAAATAAAGGGGGGAAAGTTTAAAAACAACATACTACACTGAAGCACAAAAGAGACGGACACCATTGTGGTAAAAAATTAAGAACCGAATAGAAAGGGCGTCAATCGCATCAGTGACGTATAAACGTAGCAACCATGCACGCGCACATGCCTTGTGCATATGGTGCTGATGTTCTTTGACTAAAGTTTGTTGCGAGCCGTGCCATTTTTGTTCTGTCCTTGATTTTTCTTGATTGATGGTACGCGTCTTTTTGTATTTCAGTGAGCTTGTACCAATTACCCCAACATAAAGCTTTATTAAGTTACTTATGCTCGGTCTACCCGGAAAACATAGAGGTGCTTACATTTGAAAGTACGAGCCAGTCCTTTGTTTTTGTTTTTCATTGTCAAAATCCACCATCTTCAGAATGCGGCTGATGTATCAAGGAATCGAAACCATTGCCTTGTGTGTAGAAGCCAGACGCCTTCGTCATGAGCATGGACTACGTCCGGAGCCGACGTTTCGACAAACCGACTTGTGGTCATGGCAACATTAACAGCGGGTACAATATATGCATTTGCCGAAGACGACTTGAAGACCAAAGCCATCTTGAGCAGATATCATGATCATCTTTATCTTCGATTATGATGACTGCACTGGATGGATTTCGCCTTCCGTAGAAGTTCACCCAGAGGAACAATCAAGAGGGTGATATTTATCATTGGGATAATGATCATCTTTCATGACAATGAAAATGATTATCAAGATCATGCCCACACATGCTTGCTTTTGTTGTCCAGTCCTCCTCGAGGAACAATCAATGTGGTGATGATAATGATGATGATTTTGGTACTGTTGATGAATACGTCGGCGGTAACTTTTCTCATTTAATGGGGCATATAAAGCTTTCGCCTTAATTACCGTTTTTCTGAGCAACGCTTAAGCATGCGTAAAAATTGCAGCAGACTTCGACCATTTTTTTTTTTGGTTCTGAGCTCATCTACTGCAACAGCTCAGTCAACGTGATTTGCTTGGCAGATAGCACTGTTTCCCCAAAGAAGCTGGATGAACATCACTTATATGAGTTAGAACACGTCCGCTTTTGTGATCTTTCAATTAAAACACGGGCGACGAAGTTAAAAGTAAATTTACACGTGTGTAAGGAGGCGTTACCCCTACAAGCGATCGGTGGCTTTCCAAGAAAAAGCGGAAGTAAGATGTGGTGCGTCATTTTGAATCTCTCGTCGAATAAATTAAGGCAAGTGTCTGCTAGATCGTGTAATCAACCACACTTACTTCGTTCATTTGATTGCTGAGTTTTATCTCCATGGTGCCCCAGCAGTCGTACAGCGTCTTCTCAGCCTGTCTCCATTTGGCCACGTACGCCTGCAGAAGGTCGTCACAAGTTGTTCGGTAACGGTGTTGACGTGCGTCAATCCGCTACTGTACTTGGTTAGCATAATAATGGTAATATCTGCAATCTTACATGCCAAAACTATCAAATGATATTGAGGCGGGGCGTAGTGGATGGCTCCAAAAATGTTAGACTACCCATGGCTGAATTCACGAAATTTCTTTTGTAAGAGCGTTTTTTATTGATCAGCTGACTTCGTTACAAGATATGCTCTACATCGTGATTGGCTATTCATCTATAAACATTTTGAGCCTAAGACGCCTTTGCGATTACGGGTCCTGCTGTTATATAAACTGCACTGCCATCGCACACTACTCGGACCTTCAGCATTCCGCCACTGTTGAAATGCGGCCGCCGCGCCCGGGACCAAGCCCGAAACCTTCTGGTTAGCAGCCGAGCACCTTAACCACCGATGACTGTACCCCCTATGAAGACTAATTTGAAAAACAGAGCTCAGCTAGTTGGTACGTATTTATTCTAAAAGACTGGGCGCGCAAACACGAACACCAGAATGGCTGCCATCAAGCCAGATAAGATTTCTGCCTCAGTAAAGAGTGAGGTTGTGTGAGTAAAAGGCAAAAGGCGGGCCGATCGTTTCGTAAAACACATCAGGAAATTCACTGATTGCCGTACGAGTACACTAGACTTTCAGTAAACAGAAATATGTTGAACTAAACTGCTGCCTAAATGAAAGAACTGCCTGTGATATGCTTGGTTTCGTACTTGTATTCTGCACCCCTGTTTATCTCTGATTAAACTGAACTCCTGTTAAATTCAACAAAATTCTCCCAGTTTCTCCAATTTCTACTGTAGCGTATAAGGTAGGCCTTATGCAGCTGCGGCCTGTGCTACGTTAGACAGACGGGACGCTGCGTTAACCTCCGATTATTGGAACATAGGAGACTGCTAACTGGAGGCTCACCTTCTAATCTTTCTGCGAATTGTCGCAAATGTAAGCGCACGCCAATATTCGATGTATGGAAAGTTTTCTACGAGCATGCGAATGAAGGAACGCGTCTGGTGATTAAAGCATAGCATATGAATAATATTGACAGCGCATGCGGGAGTCAACCATCGATTAACCTGCAGAAAGATGAAATCAAATGTCTCAACACTTATCTTTCACGTAGACACACACGCGTGCCAGATTGACAGGTCCACATATTTCATGATATACGCGTAGATAAGTTGTCGTGCTGTTTTACTAATCTGTCATTGTGAGCGTCTTCAGTAGCTAGTAGGCGTTTGTGGTGTCCGTGTTTCTATGCTTTCTTTTTAGGGGCGAAGCTCCTTAAAGCGGTACCCATTCGTCTCTCGTAGTAGTAGTAGTAGTTACAGTGTGTAACCAGTCTTACATTTTGGCCCCCAAGGTGGTGCTGGTGAGAGATTTCATCTGTGCGTTGTTGAACAATACAAAATTCGCAGCGTGCGCGTTAACTAAAAGCCGAATTCTCCTGTCTCTCATTCCCCCTTAGCAGCCATTGGCATGTACATTGAGCACTATCTGACAAAAAAGGGTTGCTAGGTTATACTCGCTGGGCGTAACCTCCTTGGTTTTAGAAAGGTTTAGCGAGCGTTGGGCCGCAGTGCCATGAATACAGTGAAGTATATACCGTGAACTCGAGGTGGTTAAAGGTTGTAAGTAGACACGAAGCGCAAGCCGTAAGAAAATGTGCGTGTGCCTCCTCTCGTTCAGTCCTTGGAATGTCCGCTGGATGGCGGTGCTTATATATGAGGAATATATGATGAAAAGATGCGAGATGGTGGTACTTGGAGTGTTGAATAGGTGGACGAACGGACACACAGACAGA